CTTGCTGCCTGAGCCTGCAACTAGCTAAATTCTGTGGGACGTGTATGTTTCAGAATTTTTGTAAGGCCCTGGAAGTCTCTTTCTGCGCATGCCCACAGGGGCTCTAGGCTGAGTAACCTAAGCCCAAATTCATTCTCGATGAGGATCCAGCCTCTGAGTTAGCCCCGGAGGGCGGTGATCTGGTAGGTCTTTGCTGCGCACCCCCAAACGGAGCGGGGCTTGTGGCACGGGTAGGTGAGCACGGAGAGCTTCACAGCCAAGGAGCCTGCAGGTTGTTTGGGATGACCGCTCCGGGGCATCCCAGGCCCCCTGGGCTGGAAGTCTTGGTGCAGCGCTGGCAGCCAGTGTCCAGGCTTGCCCGCGGAGGGGGATCCTGAGGAACCGTATCTGCCACCCCTGCTTGGGCAGCTGCCAGGGAGGCTGCAGGCAGGCTTTGGGATACGCCACGACGTTGCCCAATTTAGCTCCAAGTCCTGCTCCGCTAATTTGTTGGGCTGGGAGTCCTGAGAGTGTGGAGGGAAGAACTCTCATTGCTAAGGCTTATCAATTAAAATAGCACTGGAATAAAAGGGGCTGCCTTTCTCCCAGCTGAGCTAAGGGAAAATCAGTACCACTTAAGAAATACAGAACCTTGTTGCTCCAAAAGTTGGCTACCTGACTGCCCCAGGCCACGCACTCTTACTGGAAGGTAGTTACTGTACGTGCAGGCTTCAGATGGGAAGAGTCGCATTCTAGTTTCTCCTTGCCATTAGGGAAGTTAACCAAGTAGCTCTTGGGTTCCTCCGTAAATATGCAGTTTTCAAACTTTGCTTTTCTTGAAAACGATAAACTCTGCATGTTTCTTCTCCTTTCTGTACGATCCTTTTAATGATTTAAAAGGATAACCAGCAGCAAACTTGAGGGGAGAGAAGTGCTGGTTGTTACTGGCAGCATAGAATATGGTAAACATGCTGTCTTATTGACAGGGTGTCATGATTTATAGTGTTCATTTCTGCTAATAATACTGAAATACACTTTGGCTATTACACCAAACCTTTGGAGTTACCAGCAGCCTTTTAAGATCGCTTTTATTAGTGGGGAATTTGTGGTCGGTGAAGAATTTGAGTGCCGTGCATTTGTATTCGTGCCTCTCTTGATCATTGATTCAAGGAATTTCAAGGGCTTACTCTAATTCAGGGGTAGGGGAACGATGTGAAACGTGCTTGTCCAACAACACAGAGTCTCAGTGCTTCGATGTGTATCTACAATGTGAGATAAGATTATTGCTGAGATAGAAAATAGTTGGAGAGCCTTCTGCAGAAATACACCCTATTAAGTCTCTTACCAAGGAATTTAAGAAGAGAAATGAAAGCTTCCCTGTAGGTCTCTTACATGCCGTGTCCTCCTCTTTCTCCTCCCTGCTTATTTGGAGCAGTGTTGCCAGGCAAACATGAAAGTGGGAGAACCAAGCCCAGCCTGGTCAGCTGCCAAGCGCTGGGGCCTCTGACTCAGAGCTTCGGCAGCTACAGGAATAATTAAAATTCTCCCTCTGCTCACTTATATTCTTGTAAATCTTTTTTGTTGAATCTTCAAAACAAAGTAGGATGGCCGTATGGGAAATAAATGCATTCGAGTCCTGAAAAAATATGGCTGTAGTCTTAGCTCAGCTAATCAGCTAGGCTTCTCCAAGGTTTTGGTTTAGTTTAGTGATAAGCCTTCTCCCACCTCTGATTATTTGAAACATTAACTATTGATATATGGAAGAAAATTATGTCAGCATGATGGGCATCTCTTTTATTTGATCCTTAAGGCAGTGCTCATTAATAGCAGCTATGGAAATGAGCCTGTGCCATACAGAGTCTGTAACAGGACACGCACCGGGTTCGCTCTCCCCGGCCGTGCTGCCACCTCTGCTCTGACAGCGCTCTTGATGCTGCGGTTACCCCAGGGGCATTTACTAACAAAATGCAGAGCATCCTCAGTGTTTTATTCATGTGTTTTGCTAACCTCCGGTTAGAGGTGTGAAACCCCATTCTCCCCTGGAACGCTCTTTCACCTGGGGTCAGCGCCGGGCGGCTGTCGGCACACAAGTTAACTTGCCAAAACCCGGGAGCGCTCGCCCAGGGGTTGTGTTCACGTGGCGGCGCTTTCCTGCCTGCCGGCACGGGAGAGACAGCGGCACCCCAAGCCGCACAAGTTACGTGCTGCCTCTTTCACCAGCTCACAGCACTCGCTCACACGAGATCCCGCAGAGACGCTCTGTCCTTACCAAAGGCACGACCCAGAGAAGCACTGCCGTGCACAATTGATCCCCAAAATCAATGAAGTGTGTGTGTGTGTGTGAAGAGGTGAGATATTTTTATGACCTTGCTGGATCGGATCAGCAGAGCAATAGTGTTTTATAGTTAGGCGCGTATAGCATACTAATTAAAGAGCGTTTTATGGGAATATTATGGTAATGTTGGTGACTTACGTGGTGAGAATTGTACAGAAGTTTTGATTATTTTGTAACTCGGGGGAAAATTTCTGTTATTAAATTTCTGTTATAAAAAATACCCGTAGTGAATCAAGTGTATTTATGTTGTACCAGAGAATTTTTGTGCTACTAGAACCGAACAAACCAGAATTTGATTTCGGATTGTTTTGACGTGACCACGCAGTTCTGTGGGTAGTTTGCCACATCAAGAAAATGCAACAGACCTCTTATGGATTGAATTCTTCAGATTTATTTTTTTTTTAATGTCCTACCACAGATCCTTAGAATTTGCACAAGATACACACCAGAACAAGACACCATGACCTTTTCAGATGGCCTTACCCTAAACCGAACTCAGATGCACAACGCCGGATTTGGCCCGCTGACTGATCTCGTGTTCACGTTTGCCAACCAGCTCCTGCCTTTGGAAATGGATGATACAGAAACAGGTCTCCTTAGTGCCATCTGCTTAATCTGTGGAGGTATCGTACAGCATGAACTCGGATGCATTTGAAAAGGACAAACAGACAGATCTCCATTTTCCTGTACTAAAACATATCTATAAAATATACATATATATGTAATATTATTGTATGTGTTATATAAACGACTTAACCCTAAAGGTTTGTTTTACACTGTTGATAGTTACTGGGTTTATTATTGATACATTTTTAAAGGAATCAAATCATTCTGTCAAGCAACCGATCCTGTTATTTGCCTGATAAAGGACTACGAGACTTATATGTCCTGCTGCATTTTTTTATAGGTGGTTTATGGGTGCCTGTATGAACAACCTTTGTTGGGACAAGATCCCCGTTATGCAGCTTTTACTCATAAATATAATTACATGCATATCCATGTAGTTAGATTCACACAGAAGTTGTTGGTGATAACTTTCTTTAGAAAAAATAGATTATACTTTGAAATCAGCATAGTGGCACTGACGACATGATTTGTGGGGGGCTGATTACAACTTGAAAGGGGCCTTGTCAAGTAAAATCAGGTAAAATCATGGGTTTAAATTACCAAAAGTGAAGTCTCAGATCATTTCCAAAATGCTCTGTAAATTTCTGTTATTTGAATCACCTAATCTCTCTCCTCCTTTGCAAAATCTGCACTAGCAATAGAAACACACCTTGTTTAGTTGGGCCATTTTGTTGAAATACAACCCAGGTGGTGGGAGAATGTTGAAAAACCAAGAGTCAGTCTTTGTTGGCAATGCCCCTTTAGTACAAAATCATTCTGATTTTATGTGTCTCTAACCATAACCCATCAAAAGCATCGATGGGTTCTGAGATGTCATTAATATGTGACTGGCGCGTCCTGGTGTGTGGGTGACATTTGTTGTCACTCAAGCTAGCACTGCCATCTGCTGATACCTGATGGTAACTCACGTGGTTTTAGGATTGATACAAAAAATAAATTCACTGTAATCTCTTTGTATACCTAGGTAGCTTATCAATGACACGTACAAAATTAATTCTGAAATACTGTTTGCAGCAAGGTGTTTTCCCCTTGGAGAGGGAGGTGCAAGAGCAAAGTGATAGTTCTGGACCACTCAAATGACAAACCTTTCCAGTCACCAAGGAAAAATGAATCTAAGGTTCAGAAAGCCATGGTTTATCCTCTTCCTATGGAATACACACTGCAGAGTGTGGGTCATGAGCGGAGAAAAAGATGAAATTCGTGGAGTTCTAATCAAGAACATGGAGAAGCCTCTGTGATTTGGAGTTTATTAAAAAAAAAAAAAAAATTTAAATCATACAAGTGACACGATACTTTTCTACAGATCGCCAGGACCTTGAAGAACCAATGAAAGTGGATAAGCTTCAGGAACCGTTGCTTGAAGCACTGAAAATTTATATCCGAAAGAGACGACCCAACAAGCCTCACATGTTCCCAAAGATCTTAATGAAAATCACAGATCTTCGCAGCATCAGTGCAAAAGGTACGGTGTCTCCCAATAGTTCAGAAATAGCCTCGGTGTTTCATTTTGGGCCTAGAGACTTGGGTTTTTATTTTTTTAATATATCTAAGAAAGGTCCCTGTGACCTTTCTCTTCCCTTCTTCTTTATATAACTCCCGTGTTTGAATTGGTTCTGCTTTAAACTTACGTGGTGCTATGTTCTTCGTGTAACTCACAGTGAAAATGACATCTTAAGTATAAGTAGATTAGCAAATCATTAGCATAAATTCTTTGTTAGTCATTTTAAGACAAGATAAAACCCTCAATTAAACCTTTGTTAATGTTTACAAGGGAGTGTGCATCAACATGTACTTTGTACCACTAACGGCGTTCAAAGAACAAAGTCTGTTTACAGAGAGCAGAAAACACTTGTGCACCCAAAACTCCCCTAATTGAAACTAACTGTGCTGGCACGTGGATCAATTTTAACATTTTGTGTAGTCTTGCATGTGATGGATCGATCATGTGAAACACACGCAGCCTAAGCGCTGTCACATAAACCCTCTGAAGCGCAGGTACAGTCGAATGCTTTCATTTTGTCAGAGAGGTTCCCTCCCCGCGTAGCGCTTTGTCCCTCAAGGCGTGCAGCCGGAGAGCGGAGGCCGGGCAGCGCTCTGCCAGGCAGCGGCCGGCGGTCGCTGTGCCAACTCGTTCGCAGCCTCCCTGCACGCCCCTTCTGCCCCGTGCTTTGGCTCCAGAGGTGACTGTGCTCCTCTTGCTTGCGTACCCCTGTATCCCCCCAACACCCAATTTTGGTTGTGTCCAGCTGTTTCATGTGTGTTCCCCTTTTGGGGAGCTGCATCAGCTTCTGGGCCAGCCTGGGCTGCAGTTCTTAGTTTTTACAGTGGTTGACACAGTTCCACTTTCTTACTATGCTTATTCAACTACAGATTTGCTACCCCTGGTAGATAAGCAAGCATATGAGCTTATAGGTACAGGTACCTATGTAGCTATAGATTAGATTTATGCTTTTGAAAAAATGACTAATTTCATTTGAGATGGTATTTGAGAAGACTTCAGGGAAAAAAACCTAACAGATCACTCAAATACACTTGGTTTACATTAAGACCTGAACTGTTACACTTTAAACACTCTATAGCTCAGTTAAGTTAAAAAATTAAGCTGTAGCTATGTTTATTAAAAGAAGTGAGCAATTTAATTGGATCGATTAGTACCAGAAGAATAACTTAGAAAGGAAACATCAGAGCTGGAAGCAAAAGTATCCTCAAAGGGAACGGCTTACCAGGTTATCTGAAGGTGCTGTGGCTCCACAGTGGGATAACCGCACAGACAGACACCGGGCACTGCAGCTGACCTGCTCCGTAGCAGCAGAAAGCAGATCTCTGACGCAGCCAAACTCAGTTCACCAGCACTGCTCTCTGACTGCGGGTGGTTCTCAGAGAAGCTCTCGGCATAATTGTGCATTAATTTCTTTCCGATTACAGAGCTTGCCCCTTTGCTTCTAACAAACAGTTGCTTAAGAGACTTTTTCATCAGCATTCACTCGGAACGTGGGTCAGTGCCTGTGTAGCTGATTTCTGAAGCGCCTCCGTTAAGGCAGGAGCACGAGGGCTCCCTTCCCACCTGGGATTACCGCTGTGACTGACTGCACTCCCTTCTGCATGTACCTTGCAGCAGCATGGCTAAGCAGAATATATCAACAGGTTCTCTCCTCTGAAACGGTTCTTCAATAACCAGACTATTTTCTCTTTAATTTCGTTGGCTTTTCTTGCTTTCCTTCACATTTAAAAAGCACAGATTCGTATTCCATTACAGTCAGATTTTAAGATGACGAGGAATCCTATGCAACATGCTAGACCAGCTATTTGAACTCAGAGGTTTGTGGCTGTAAATTGTCTGACATTGTCCTGATAAGAAACAGGTTTTTCCCATCAGAGGCAAAATCTGTAAAGCACGTTGGTGCCTCACTGTGGAACAGAATCTTTACAGTGTAGCCTTGCTTTAGTTGGGGTGTAATTCCAAAATACGCCTGTCTCTCTCTTTATGGTACTCACCACTCAGTAGCTGTTTATTAACTTACTTTCAGCCCGTCAGTGCCTATTGCATGCTTACAACAGCGTGGTACCTACTGAGGTTGTATTAGCGCGACTGCTCAGGGCTTTCTGAGGGCGTGTGTAAGTTAACAGGTGAACTGTGAGGTGGCCCCTGGTCATACGGTCTTCGCTGTACGCCTGCCGTGTTCAAGCAGCTGTAACACATCTTAGAGCACCAGGCACTGTTTGTGTGGGGTTGGGGGCAGTTTTTTCCCTTACACTAGTGTTGGTTGTTGCTTCACCATCTGAGTAGTCAGGGTTTATGTAGTAATTTTGTTTAATCCTACACACGCTAGCCCGTGAAGCCATCTCTGTACAGAACCACTGGGTTGTTATGCTTGACAAGGCAAAACACTGAACAGTTGGCTTCAGCTGAGACAGATGTAAACACTCGTAGTGTGTGTGTACTTTTGTGGTTCTCTTAGCACAAGAGAAGATGCCCAAGAACTACAGCTGGCAGCTTCACAAAAAAACCCCATAAATCTGTAGCCTTTTGCCTGAATTTGTTCCTTTGTAAAACGGGGGTTTGTTAAATTGATTCTTATTTCACAGATTTCTCTACGGGAAAGAAATGTTCTGACATCACCACAGTTCTCTTACAGGATTCACCTCAGCTGTTTAACACAAATCAATGCCAGAATTTTTTGTCATTCTGTAGTCTTTGCAGAGCCAGTGCAGATTAAAATCTTATATTCCAATTTATGAAGACATCTGAGTCATCGCAGTTTAATGTTTCAGTATAATTTAATGCTGTTTTGGTTCCTTCTGTGAAAAAGAGCCAATCCAATTTACCTGTATTATAATATCAGTTGCTACTTTGATTTGGTAAGGAGTCCTCATCTAACACCTTTTTCTTGTAATGGACCAAGTTCTTCACTCACATACAAAATTATGCAAGAAGAATAGGAGAGGCCAAAGCCATTAAAACAAAGTACCCTGAAATTACTACTGCTGACGCTAACAAAAAAAAAGGAAATTGTATGAATCGTACTAACAGCAAGGGCTTTTTGTTTTCTTTTTAAAGGTGCAGAACGTGTCATTACATTGAAAATGGAAATCCCTGGATCCATGCCACCTCTCATTCAGGAAATGCTGGAGAACTCTGAAGGACATGAACCACTGACACCAACCTCAAATGGAAACCCTGCAGAACACAGTCCCAGTATCTCACCTAGTTCAGTGGATAACAGCAGTGTCAGTCAATCCCCAATGGTGCAATAAGACATTTTCCAGCTACTTCAGACATTCCTAACACCTTATGTACAGGGATGAAAAGCAAGAAAAAAAAAAAAACATTTTTACTGCTGCTTAGTTTCTGGACTTAATATATATCTATATATGTATATATATATATAGATAAAAACTCAACAAGGACCAAGAAATTTTCATATGTATCGATATATACTCCTTGCTGTTTAAACTCTTAAAACTAGAAAATGCAAACTTTTGAAACTCTAAATCAGCCATTTCATGAAAAAAAAAAAAAATAGTTAAGCTTCTGTTTTCTCCTCTGAACATTCAAGATTGCATGGTGACAAGACAGATCTCAAACTTTAAATTCTGGTTGCATTTCTGATGACTTTGTACATACAAATGTATGGCTGTACTTTCTATACTGGATGTTTGGTGCTTTCCTTTTGTCTCTCATACCTAAACCAATCAAGACACCAACCATATGAAATGGACTACTCTACACATCCAGAAAAGGAAGTTTAAAGGACCGTCTGATTTAGTTTAATATGAAAATTTGTCTTTGATGCCCTCAGTTTGCATCGCCTTCCTTGTAAAAAGTATACAAAAATTCACTGCACTAGCAGAAAAGACATCAGTATCAGCATTAACTGCCAGATCAGTTATTCAGATGTCATTTGTTCCACTGTTAATGTCACTTTAAAATTTGAAGAAGTGGTTTCTTACCTGGCTGGTGACCTAGCTACACAATTAATGACAACAACATTTCTACAGTAACGATAGCCTCCAAGGCAGAAACACTTTTTAGTGTTACCTTGTTTTTGTTTACTTGTTCACAAGCCATTAGGGAAACTTCATGGGATGATAACCAGCGGGCTCATTTACAGCTTTTGCATCGGCGAGCCTAGGGTATTTCCTGCAGAGTGGACTGCCAGGAAGTAGCTGGGTCATCCAGGCTTCCTGGCGCTAGGGGAGCACAGCTAGGACTGCCAGAAACACAAGGAGAGAATCTGCCTTCTTGGCCTTGTTAAATCACCATGAAGCAGAGTGAAAACTGTGGTAGAATGGTTAACAGATTTAAAGTGTCAGTTTCTTAGGTTTCATTTAAAGCACTAGTGGATTTTTTTTTTTTTTTATATATTCTAGCAAGTCTGTGATGTACTTTCACTGGCTCTGTTTGTACATTGAGATTGTTTAACAATGCTTTCTATGTTCATATACTGTTTACCTTTTTCCATGGAGTCTCCTGGCAAAGAATAAAATATATTTATTTTAAAAAAAACACTGTGTAGAAGTAGTCCCTCTAGTCCTAATTTCACACACACACACACACACGGTAGTTTTCCATTTTTTAATGTTTAAACTTCATTTCAAAAAGCAGGTTTGCTGGTTGCAACCATGACAATTAAAATGTGCTTTAGCACAGCTGTCTAGAACATCTCTACAAGCCAGTCAGACAAATACATGACATTTCAATGAGTAAAAAAGAGCATAAAACTGTAGGTGTAAGAACAAAATGTTAAAATGCCTACACACAATAATAAAAACCATCAATTACATTATCACATAAAATAAGTCAAATGTACAAAAGTTTGCGACAGAAGGGACAAAAGGACAACACAAGATAGTTGTTGGAAAACATTTGTGTGCTCTTTGGGCACTTAATTAAACATATCAAAATCATCATCTTCATCAGACTCTGCAAAATATTTAACTTCTTTTCTAGCCCGGCCTGTCCGTGGCTTTGGGGCAGTTTCGGAGGCAAAGCCTGACTGAAAGATTTCCACATCAGAATCCTGGTCAAAAGCGGCCTTCTTGGATTTCTTTAGGAAAGAAAAGACAAATCAGTTGTGATGCTGTGTATGTTTTTGTTTTTCATGTTCAGAATTGACGTAAACCTTCTCTAACATCTCATTTCTAAACACACCTAACCCCCATTAGCATATTAGCAACCTATAACAAGAAAATGGAGCTTTAATGTAATCCAGTTCTTTTTACAAGGAAAAAAAGAGCAGAGATAGAACTGACCTTGCTTGGTGTTGATTTAGGTGTTTTCCTCCCAGGGTTGTATTCACCTTCATTTTCTGAACTGGATGTTTTCCTTTTCTTTGCCCCTCTACCTTTTCCTAGGAGAGAGAACATGATTTAACTTTGGTTTCTTTTTCTTTTTTTTTCTTTTTTTTAACTAAAACACCAGAGTTCAGCAGACTGAAAAAAAAAAAAACCAAAAAACACCCCAACCTTGTGAAATTACTTTAGTATGCCTATACTTTAAAGTTCTAGTATAGTTTACAACTCAAGCATCTTCACAACAGCAGTAAAATACAAGGGGGGGGGGGGGTTTAATATTTTTTTTTAATTAAATCTTTTATACTTCTTCCAAAGTTACCATTCACCCTTGCAATTCAAGCTGTCAGTTCAAGGCAGGGACAAATTTCATTAGATCAATGAATTCTAGACTTCTGAAGTACTACAAGTCTTTAGTCACCTGTACTGATTACACAGCATTAATTCACCTTTACTATTTAGTAACTCTAGTGTTCTCCTCAACACTGGCGCATTATTTGCAGACTCCTCTGATTACACTGCTTGCGCTGTTGTGAGGATTCTCACAACAACTGAGAACTGGGATACCAAAGAACTGGTTTAAAAAGCCAGAAATCACTATTTACTAGAATTACTACCAGAATTTTACTGTCTTGGTAAAAAGCTGAGAGCAAAGAAAATAAGCAGTATCCAGGTGAACTGATGACCAAAACAAACAAAAAAAAAGGGGGGGAGCTATTAAATATATTCCCAACAGTGAAGGTCAGCTAAAAAGTTCACGCATTGTTTGTCAAGTAAAGTCAGTGTGCTATATTTGTCACAGAAAAGGCTCATGGCTGAGTAATCTACTAGTGATTAAATTACTAATAAATCACTGTGGTTCTAATTTTAGAGACACTAGTTCTGCTTCCTTGTAAAAAGGCTTGTGGATCTGTTAGAGAGAGAGCAGAGCCACAAGTGTTGAGGAGCACAGCAGCAGAACTCTTACCTTTGGGTGCTGCAGTCTTCTTTGGAATGCCAAATTCTGAATCTGAGTCAGAGTTTACAGTTTCCACCTTCTTGGCCTTGGGAGCTCTTTTAGGTTTAGGGGGCGCATCTAGTTTTGCTGTTAGAAGTTAGAGATACTAAATATGTTAAATTCACATATTGGTTAGAAATATTAAATTTTATTAGATATGCCAATTACAGCATAAATGGCAGATACTAAGATGAGCAGTTTCTGCACTTGGGGAAACAGACTTCAGCTTTTACACTAAAACTTGTGTGGACTAAACAGGAGGTTTCCTTTGCTATACTTTGAGCTGTAGCAGTGCATTCAGTAAGGTCCAGTGGTTTTGATTAACTACTTCATCTTTTTGACCACAGACATGGGACAGGAAGGAGACACAGCTGTGGATTTCTTACAGAATTTCAGTTACTGCTATGCAAATAGTCTTCCCATCATTAAAAGACAGTCATGGGTATGGTCACACAATGGGTGATAAGGGATAGAATCACAATCGTTTATGTTGGAAAAGACCCTTAAGATCATCTGATAATGTGTTCTATGTGCTTACAGACGAGCCAGTCTTTTGGCCACAAATAACCTCAAAGATGACAGGACGTGTAAAAACACTCCAGATGATAGCAGGAATTTGTGAGACCACAAGCTTTCATTTATGGTATCACCAGGGGAAATGCATTCAGACAACAGGTGAGTGTCTCCACAGTTTTTTTGCTGTGATGCCTTGAACTGCTACCCACTGGAGAGTCACTGCACAAGGACAGGTATGTCTTTCCAGGGTTTTGTTGTAATAACTCACAATACAAAAAAAAAACCCCAGCTTGCTTTGGCATCACAGATGGGAAAAAAATGGTGTTGGCCATGACAGCATTTCAGATACAATCTGGGGAGGGAAGCAACAATGCTTAGGATGAAAGTCAGGAACCATATTTGAAAGCAACTTGAAATAGGTCTTTCTAGTTATCTCAACTGGGAAAACCCAGCTGTATTAATATAAAAAGTAAGCCACAAAGACCTACCAGTAAGCCTGGAAAAAATACACAGCAACTGAAAGCAGGGGAAATACTTTCTAGAATCATCACCAAAAGAAAGTAGCTAGTTATCAGTAAAGGAGGGGGCAGTGTTACCTGAAGGTACACTATTTTAGGTCCCATAAGGCAATGAAGTCCTTCATTTAGGAAAAAACTTTACCAGCATAGAAATGTAGACTAGGGGGCAGGGAGGGGAAAGATTTAGAAGTTTCATCAACTTGAAGATGACAAGCAGAAATTATGACCAAGAGAATTTTAGAAGAAGGGATCCCTTTTAGATCTAGGTGACACTCAACATCAGAAGCTGAGGTTTAGATGTCCTCCTACAGGACTGTGTATGTTTTGGCCAGATAATTGTGCCTGGCACAGTTCCTCATGCTGTTAATGCAGAATTGGTATACCAGACAGAAGCCAAGTATGCTCCGTTGACAAATACTACACAGCACATACACCACGAGATGTATCTATCTTCAGCTGGCCATGAGTCCTTGAGTTTGTTACCTCATGTTAGAAGAGGGGCAGACTGCTCACTGACAAACAAGGAACTGGGGAACGAAAGAGAGGTATGACACACTGCCACAAACACTAGACTTGTTCTTCCCTTGGAACAGAGTCTGTCTTCACCGGTCAACTCCTGCGAAGTCTGTCTGCAGATCACCAAGTCCAAAGGGCAGTAAACCTTTTGTTGCCTGGTGACTAAAGTAATAGTGTCCATGGCTTCCAGAACATGGATCTCCTTCTGTACTAAGTCTAGTGGGTTTCTGAACCTCTGCCTTAGATATACACCTAATACCTGCACAAGTTGGAAGGATCTCTGACAACGACTAGACACCAGACCGCAATAAGCTCAGCCAAGCTCTCCACTAGGTATCACGACATGAAATGGAAGTCTGCAGTGGTCTCATTGTACACAGGCTCTCAAGAAGCCCAAGTTTTTGGTAGAAAGTCCAGAAATGGTATCAGTACTACAGCTGATGCAAACGGTACGTCTCACTGCTAGAATCTTAACAGCTGGGCTGTTCAAGGCGAGCAGCTGCTTATAATCAAAGTGTAAGACTGCTCTTCAGGTTTCCCTGAGGCTTACTATAAGGCACTAGAACCACTAGACCTCTATTCCTTTAATTCTTCTCACTGAGAAGGGAATGTGGCTGTACAGATAGCAAGGCACAACAAATGGTTCTTCAGTTTCAGCTTTCTATCCCTACAAATCCAAGCTCTGAAGTCACAGAAAATCAAACAACTCTAGAATAATTGTTTCAGCCACGCTATGGGCATTCCCAGTGTAAGGGTGAGTTGATGGAATATGACAATACCAGAAAATGGGTTTTGAAGGAGCTGCTGGTGCACGGCATGAAGATGGAGTTAGAATCAAGGAGACTGCTAAAAGGATACCAGACAACCAATGATCTAAGCACGCTAGGTTATCACTGCACTGTCAAACTGTGATCATGAAACTGTGGTCATGTCTAATCTGGGCAAAGGAGAAGATGTGAAAACTGGTGAAAGCAACCTGTTGTATTGTCATGCAATAGAGGGAGACTGTGTCCCTAAGGCTGCTCTGAAGGCAAAAATTTAAGTTTTGCTTGAAAGGGAGCCTGTTTATACCTATTTTGTGAGTGTAAAGGTTAATTAGAAACGGGGAAACATCACAGCTGTATTTTAAGGTTTCGAGTTAGGTTAATGACAACTCATCACATCCAGGCCTTCAAAAAACAGAGAGAAAGAGATTGAATGTTAAATTGCATCCATGCCTAGCTACTGCATACACACTTCTCTCTTGTATTTACTTCAGTACAGAAGTTTAACATAAAAGACTATTCTATTACAGATCAGTTATTTCTGTAAACAACCTCCATTTATTGTATTATAGAACTACATTAGCTGAAAGCGTTTGAGAAGCATTCAGACATTCGTTGATTCCAACAGTTTACAAATTAGATTAGACACAACACAGAAAGAAAGAGATTAGAAATAGGGAAGCAATGGGGGAGAGGATGAAAAGATGCTGCCATTCTCTGGTACCTAATATATAACAAAGATATTTTTTCTCATTTTTAAGAGAGTAAGTTAACTATTGTAACTGGCTGCTTTCTTGCAGATTTCCTTGAGATATCTTTTTTAGGAAGAATTAATACAGTAAGTTCAGCTTCAAGTTGGTCAAAAGAAGTTTTAAAAAACAAAGGCCACAGTATCACAGGGGGGGAAAAAAAGCTTTTGGAGGACAGAAGATTGAGCAACGAGGAAAATATCTGAAAGACATACCGGAAAAAAGGCAAAGATCTGAAAGCAACAAAATCTCTAGTCTATCATGTGCTAAGAACTGTATTTTATAACCTACTTAAACTAGTATTATGTAAGAAAAAACATTATTTTCACCATTAATTACAGCAAGTGTCTAGCATAATCTTAACACAACATTTAGAAACAAGTGCAAGTCTTTCTCTTAGAAGCAGCGCTAAAACCCAATAAACCAATATTCCCCAAGGTAGACAGAGCAAAAAAACCTTATTCCTACAAATACCCAAGCACAACCACAGAAACAAATCCAAATAATAAACATGCTCTTCTTGGAATTATCCTTAATTCTGCTATGTGAGATCCTGTGAGATGCCAGTTCTAAGATCCTGACTAATAATGAAATAATTTATACCTCTTTAGTTTGAGGAGAGTATTTCATCATCCGTTTCAAGAAGAAAAACAACTGTGCCAAGTGGAACTTACTGTGAAAGCCTACTGTGCTGGTTTTTGCTGCGATAGAGTTAATTTTCTTCATAGTAGCTAGTATGGGGCTATGTTTTGGATTTGTGCTGGAAACAGTGTCGATAACACAGGGATGTTTTCATTACTGCTGAGCAGTGCTTATGCACAGTGAAGGCCTTTTCTGCTTCTCAGCCCACCCCACCCATGAGTAGGCTGGGAGTTGGGAGGGGACACAGCCGGGACAGCTGACCCCAACTGACCAAAGGGATATTCCATACCATATGATGTCATGCTCAGCATATAAAGCTGGGGGAAAAAGAAGAAAGGGGGTGACATGTTCAGAGTGATGGCATTTGTCTTCCCAAGTAACTGTTAGGTGTGATGGAGTCCTGCTTTCCTGGAGATGGCTGAACACCTGCCTGCCCATGGGAAGTGGTGAATGAATTATTTGTCTTGCTTTGCTTACGCGCATGGCTTTTGCTTTACCTATTAAACTGTCTTTATCTCAACCCACAGGTTTTCTCACTTTTACTCTTTACCATCCCACTGGGGGAGAGGTGAGTGAGCAGCTGCGTGGTGCTTAGTTGCTGGCTGGGGTTAAACGACGACACCTACTTAGGACACAAATATTTCTTGGGGAGTCCTCCTTTGCACTTGCTCTCCTTCCTTTTAAAGTAAATAAGTTACATCCATTATAAAAGACTATCTTCAACCCCAAGTTCATCTTGTTTCACTCATTCCCAGAGGGTAAAAACCTGCCATTAGTTAAACTAATCAAAGGCTGAACACCAATGCCATATGTGGAAAGTGTTATGTTTTGACACTAAAGTAGCCAGTGGAAAGAAAGAAATCAGTATCATTAAGGAGGTGGAAGAAGTTCACACCCTATGCTGAATTTCACCGAGGTCAAAATAAATGAATGCAGTTCCCACTTTGAAGATGTGAAGCGATAATGTAAAGGTGGAGGAGATGAGTTTTAAAAAAATGGATTGGCTTACAAGACAATCCTATACGTACCCTTTTTAGCAGCTACTGTTTTACTTGGAATTTTCTCTGTTTGTTTTGGGGCAAAAGATGATGAGAAAACAGGAGCAGAATCCTCTTCGTCACTGTCCAATTTTGCTGTATCTACAATCACAGAGTACATTTAAAATAAGGTGTGTTCACTGCATATTTTAAATCATCGATATTAATTACAGTCAAAATTAATCTCAAAAAAGTCCTTCTGATACCACAGCTAGGCTGTGCATGTACTGTGACTTTCTTATCTATGATACAAACTTTGTTCTGCAAATCTGGACATCCTGCTTCTATAACTACTGTGTGAATTTTGTGTATACAACATAAACTCCCTAATATATTCCATAACGGTTGCTATAACATTAAATATCTGAAGGGTGGATGTCTAGAGGAAGGGGCCAGACTCTTCTCAGTGCTGCCCAGTGACAGTACAAGGGGCAATGGGCACAAACTGGAACACTGGAAGTTCCATCTCAACATGAGGAAAAACTTCTTCACTTTGAGGGTGACAGAGCACTGGAACAGGCTGCCTGGAGAGGTTGTGGAGTCTCCTTCCCTGGAGATATTCAAAACCTGCCTGGACGCCATCCTGTGCAACCTGCTCTAGGTGATCCTGCTCTAGCAGGGGGGTTGGACTAGATGATCTCCAGAGGTCTCTTCCCTACCATTCTGTGAATCTGTAAACAGATGAGTGCAAACAAGCTCACCATCATCTGTCTTCTGAGAGTAAGATGGAAAAGAGAAGATGTTCCCAAAATCTTGATTTTTCTTGTCTTGAGACATTTTTCTACTTCCAAACAGGAAAAAGAAATTATGAGTTGCATTAACTACTTACTGAAGTATGTAGACATTATAATATCCATATGAGATTAAATTCCTGGTTTAGCACTACAAAGCATTTCTAGCATTTTTCTACATGCTTGCAGCAGTCAAACCCATAAAATCACCATTCAGTCATGAACTTCAGGCATTTAAAATTAACAAAATTACATTTTTTTGTCTGTATACCAGACTGGCATAAGATAGAAAATGGACAATCTTACAAAATGCAGTTTAAACAGATAACATTACTGACAGTGTACCGTAATTTGGTAAGTCACGTTTACCTCTGCATGGGTCAATTGCAAGGCTGAGATAACATATGCTTTGATTCCTCCCCAGAAATGTATAAATTTTATTTTCCATGGTACATGTAGAGTAATAACAGCTTGATGTTTCTCAGCTTTGTTCAGAGACTTCTGCATTCGAAAAAATTATTAGTAAAGAAATACTGCTGAGGTATAGTACTTACTCTGGAGACGGCTTTGATTTGGCTGGGGAGAAGTCATATTCATCTTTTTCTAAACTGTCTGAGGGAACAAACTCATCCTCTCTGTCATTTGTAACTGGAGAGGCTTTTACTTTGAGCTCATCCAAATCATTATTATTGTTGGCATCATCATCATCATCACCATCATCCTCCTCTTCTGAGAAGTCGAAAGTATACTTGGGCCTCTCAGCTAAAAAAAGAAAATCACATGTATACACATTTCAAGATAGCTGTTTATGTTAATACATACATAAATGAAAGTGGAAGTCACTAAACAATCCCTGCCTCAGAGTATACTAGACAAAAGACTGGGGGAAACAAAACCTGTTTGAGCCTGGAAGAGTAAAGGGACATAATTTAAAGTGTTGCCAAACTTCTAACACCACTTGCAGCTTGCTCAGATACCTTCAGCTAACGGCATTATGGAGACATCACTGCATAAGTACTTTTAAGGAATGAGAATCCTTCACTTACCATCGCAGTTTTCTTGAATCTATCATTTGAACATTCTTCCTAATCAAATGCTTGAAAATTGATCAATAATTTTCCAGAAGAATGTGTGAGTTTTTCTTTAACTATCAAATATTTATATATTTTCCAAACTTTCAGCATCTGATATTTTTGCTTTTCATGGACTGTTCAGAATTTTTTTGACAAATTTTTACTACCCATTTGGGCTTTAGGGCCTTATTTGACAATATAAATGCACTAATTTTTTTCATTTGTAATGGTATTATCTTGTCTATTTCTTGTATAATTCACTAGTTTTGTGAGTAATTTCTATTCTAGTGTTTACAATAAGGGAAAAATATTTCTGGAACATGTTACAAAACCTTACATATCAACTTTCAAGTTCTTTGTCTTGACATTAAGGGTTTTTTTCATTAACTGCACAGTGAAGAAAATGTAATGCAAGCTATCCATTGGAGATAAAGAGATAAAGTCCTAAAGGAAGGCTATGGCCAAAGGAAAATGTAGTTTTGTAGCTGAAACTTTCAGTTCACAATGCGTAATTCACAAAAGCTTGGGTACCTGCAGCTCTCCTAAGCAGAGAGTCTCTTGGAATAATCACAGGCTCATTCTCTTCTAAATCACTTTCAGACTTGGATTCATCATCTGACCATGGGTTTCGTTTCTTCACTTTTTTTGCACTGGATTTTGTAGATGATGGTGTTCTTCTTACCCTAGTACCTGCCACAAGTTAAAGCATTTACTACAGTTAGGGTAAAAAAAATATTTTCATCTTCTCTAATCTTTATGATGCATAAATTTAGTATAATTCTTTTATCTTAAAAAGTTCTCCTTTAAATGTTGTAAATTTTCTTCTCCTTCCTGAAGAAAAATTGAACATGATGAAATTACTTCACACAGAACCTGACCTGCTGCCAAATAAATTTATGACTGAAAAACATAAAAGTTTCTAATGTGCAGTTTTAGTTCCTCTGCAGTCAAACTTCCATTTTTTTTAAAGGTTGCTGGGGTTTTCCAGGAAAAGAAAAAGCAGTTTTCCATTATTCAGGGAACATGATCAGGAATAGTTATTGGAAAAATCAAATTAACATGGGAAGGAGAAGATACCCTACTGGGGGGTAAAAATGCGGTCAGTCAATTGCAGGGCAAGCCCAGGTCAAGCTGGGCTAATTGGCTCTGGCTCAACACCAGCTAGGGTAGATTTGAGCTGCATGTAGACAACTCAGTCATAATTGTACTCAGTTAATCTATTTAGGTTGGATAATCTCCTGAATAATTAAAACCAGATCTTATCTCAGAAGAAATATTTGTATAACTGCTTTTTATTACTTTTTTTTTTTTAAACCTCATGCTTAAAACCTTCTCTTCTGTCTTTAGCTTTCTTTTTTATTGCTGCCCCATCATTACTGTGTATTTCTCAAACAGTAATAATAAATTCCTACTGACAGAGGTAAAAGGAAAGTTACCATCTGCATTGGTTATTCTGCCAAGCCATAACATGCATAACTTTTAAAAAGTCAGAATGACTGAATATGTCAATAGGAAAATATATTTATTTAATCAAGTTTTACAATCTATACAATTACTCAGACTGAAGGTGAGTGCCATGTCCTTCAAAGTCAGAGAGCATGCAAACTAAAAATTTCAGTTTGCACAGAATTACTCTAATTATGTAAAAATAATCTATTTTTCTACTCACAAATTCAAAGACTTAGACCCCCCCCTCAAAAAAAAAAAAAAAAATCAAATGCAGAAAATGTAAGATCCAGAACCCCCATAAAAGCAGCTTACATACAAGAAATTTCAGCAGAGTACTTTCAAGTGTTTCTACACATCTCTTTTGGGAAGAAAACCAGATTAAATAGTGATTATTGTGGTGTATTTCCCTTTTCACTATGTGTTAAAAATATATTTAATGCCCAATTAGTATACACAACTAAGGTTAACTATGACTTTATAAGGATTTTACCAGGCTCCTTCTTCTCTCTCTTAGGTTTAGGGGTTTTAGCTGTGGCTGATGTATTCATTGAGTCATCCCCACCACCCTCAGCTGGCACACCACCAAATTCTTCATCAAATTCCATTTTTATTGCTAGAGAATCAGTTTCACCCTAAAAAAAATAAAGAAGTTTGGCAAAATAAAATAAATTGTACTTTTATATTTCAAAATAGAACTGGAAGAGTTTTGTAGAAGGTAATAAATGAAAGTAGACTACTATATTGACATTTGTTGAACAGTCTTGGAAAGAAGAAATCACAATAAAAGTAGTAACAAGAGGCTTGCAAACGTAGAAGAAATCCAGTATTAACTTCTTCATGCATTAGATCAGCAAAACAGTGTAAATAAAACATTAATGAGGTCTAGTGGTTTGGATTTATGCTACCAGAGTAGAAAAATATAGCAGTTAAATAATAAATAGTCTAACTATAGCAATAGTTTTGATTTACCTTTTTCTTTTTCAGCAGTTTCCTACTGGCATCAGCTTTCATGGCTGATGTAATCTGTGGAACTATTCTTCTGCCAAATGGTGATGGCATGGTCTCTTCCAACTGAAGTTTCTTCATCTTGGGTTTACCAACTTTGCCTTTTATTGGTTTGCCAACCATGCCAGCCAAAACATCTTCTCTTTCCTGTGCTTCTACTTTCTATCAAACAAGGGGGCATGGGGTGGGGGGTACACATTCTTTTTTAATAAGGATAAAGTGGAACATGGTGATTATTCAAGATTCATCTCCTTTTTACATGGAGCATAAAACTTGCCTTAATTCTCACTTGAATTGTAACACACCTTCCAGTAATGGAAAACCAAGTACTTAATCTTGGTAATTTTTTCATTACCCTGTACAGTTAAAAACTACATTTTCATTCAAGATTAAATAAACACAGGCTTTTGGACACTTCTTCTATCAAGTTTCTATTTCTCATGTACGTGTCTGGGTACTGATCCACCTTTTAAGTACTTCAACGTTTAATTTAAGTAGGTAGTTTCTGGAGTAATTTTTAAGGCACATTTTCCAGTCCTTTAATTAGCTTTTTTCACAGTATGAACATACAGCTGAAATACAGACATCCAAACAGAACACTTCCAATTGCAGTTGTACCATGAATACACACAGAAATAAAGTAAATAGCTTATTTGTATTATCCTGGGTCACTGCAAAAAGATTACATCAGCCCTTTTCAGGCTACATTGAATGCTGAGGCCCTCAGCAAGTTACTCACCAATAGGACATTACTTTTTTCCAGAGTTACTGATGAGGCAAAGTAAGAGCCCCTCATATGGTACAGTCTACACACTTCGTTCCTACATGTACAGCTTTGCATTTGACAATACTTATTGCCTCACAACCAAGTAGATCAGGTAGAACTACTATAATTATTACTATTACTAGTTACTACTCCCAGGTTTCTCCTGGTAATTTTTCTTTTACCATCACTGACTTGGGAAAAAATCCCAACATTAAATTGTATAGATGCAAGAGACAATCCCTGAGGAACACAACTAGGAACACAAAGACCCAATATTGATTTCCTACTTACCATTATATTTGGAGATCTATATACTTTTAATCCAAAATTTCATAATTTTTATTATTTTTCTTAAATTTTAATACTTTTAATTAATTAATGCTTTTAATTAAATTAAATTTAATATGCTTAGAAAGATATGTAAAATAAAACATACTTCAAGCTCTTCAACAAAGGCCGCTAGATCTTCTTTCCAGAGATCTGAAGAAGATTTCCTTTTAAGGTCATTTAGGTCTCTCTCCTAAAACATCAAAGTAGCATGTAGAATGTAAGTTACTAAGTTACAACTACAGTAAATAGTATCAAAACTGAACATTCACAATTAGACACATCAGTAATTACTGTATCATTTCAGAACAAGCCTTCCATGGTGTACCAACCTTTGAATCTCTCTGCTTAATTAACTCTTCTACTTTCTCTTTTGTGAGTGACCACAGAGACATGTTTAAGATATAGTTAAAGTCAGGGCCAGAAGTTGAGCCAGAAGCAGAGGAAGCATCATCATTCGGGTTCTGTGGGTCCTCCTCTTCTGCTGCCTAAAGTGAAATATTCACAATTACAAGTATTAATAATCTTAGCTCTATGTACGAACTGTAACATTGTTCCAAAACACCATCAGAGAGTAGTAAGGTATGCCCTCATAGATTCAATAACCTTAACATTTTTTCTGGACCTTTCCAAAAGGCGATGTTCCTGTGACCTTCTATAGTTGGATTATTTAATCATTTGATGTAAGAAAACAAATCTGAACCTGATGCTAGTCACGTGCCTTGTACGCTATTGGCTACAGATATTGGTACTGTCCTAGCTATCTCACAGGGTTGAGACCTATGCCCTTGGGATATTCATGTGTATCTGTTTCTTCAGAAATGAGCACAGTCTTTTGGATAAAAACTAGTATCAAAGCCCCAAATGTACAAACTATGGTTTGGAAATGGATCAAAATTTCTCATAATAGTTTTGTTATAAAATACAATACACTGCATGGAGTTAAGATACAGTAGTGTAAAAAAAAAAAAAGGCAAAGCAAATGAGAACTGAAAACAGAAAGGAAAAGCAGTAGCAATGGCACAGAAAAGGGGTGGCTGACAGAAATTTGAAGTTGCTTTTCAAAGTAGTTTCATCTTCCCATAGTAAAGCATGAAATTAAGCTTGTCACATCTCTTTTGGAACAATAAAAAAACCTCTTGGTTTTAAAAAAGCAGAAATAAATATAGGCCATGGTCAAATTTGCTAAAGTTCAAAAGTCATAGGTTTATAATATTCATGTTTCATCACAGAAAACTGATGCATAAGTTATACATAAATATTTACATTTTGCAATCATATGACAAATAATAAGGGGAAAATCATATGTGTGGGGTAACTAATGCAGAATTTTATATATCAGCAAGTCAGAAATCAAGTTGCCAGTTTTGATTTGGGTACATTAAGAAATTCAATCCTTTGCATTCTCATTTTCAAACTTGTATTATCTAGTTTTCTTCTAAGTATTATCCATACATGATACCAGTATTTTGTGACAATATTTTTGTACAAGTTTAATGTATTTTTAAAAATGGAAGACAATAAGGAGTAATGAATAATCTTTTTCAAGTGTTATGTGTGTTAAAAATTAAGTTAGACTACTAGAAAACAAACACCTATAAATTAATATAATTTATAACATTAACAGCATCAAATATATCCAGTGATTTCAGATAATTACCTTTTCCTGTGCTTCTTTCCAGGCTTTTACTGGATCAGATTCATAACCTCTCTGGACCAACATCTGAATCAAATCTCTTTTTGATCTGTTCTCTACAAGACACACACAACGAGGAAGGGGGAAGAAAACGGAAAAAAAAAAAAATCAGTGTCATGAAAATAGATGTCTTACAGGCAAGTACATTCCATTATATTTAAATCAATTTCAGATCTTCCACCACTGCTACCAATTCTAACTTACACTTACTCACCTATGGTAATTTTCCCTTGTATCTTCTCTAGAACAAAACGAGCTTGATTGTTAAGCTTGGTAGATTCTGCCCCCAACATTCCCACAAGCCATTCCTTGCGTAAACTATAATAATGTAATCGCAAATCAAAGAACTCCTTCAAGATGTCTTGCACAGTTTCATACTTCTTCAAACATCCCATATGATCAAATAGCACCTATGAAATACATAATATACTGCTTGAGAGAGATTGCATAACTCCAACTTTGTTAATCTTTGCGTACAAGTTTATATCTATTGCACATATACATGCACCATACAAAAAGTGGCATTCTGAAGGCTGTGAACTCAAACCTTACTATGGAACTACACAGCATATAGCTGGATAATTTTTATTTTTATTCACATGTAGATTTAAAATGAAATTTATGGTAACATGTTCAAACAGGAAGACAGTTACATAGAGAAATATGCCTGAATTCAGTCAAATTACTAATTTTATCTAAATATTAAAGCACAAGTTCAGTAGCACCTAATGATTAACAACTATTTAACGTAACGGTTGAAAAGCATCTTTAATAATCTTTCAGTTCAGCTGTCAAATCTGCCAGTTTTCAACTGTGAAAACTCCCATCCTTGTAGTTCAAGCACAAAGAAAGAAATCATTTTTACATCATAGGTGGAATCAATACCGCCTGACTTCTGACATCCCCAGTTTAGACATTTATAGGTGAACTAGTCACCCCAGGCGCCCTCTACAGTCAACTGAAAGAAATAAACCCCTCTAGGGGGCAATTCATCTGTCTAAACTATCTATCTGGGAGTAGGGTGAACAATGTCTAGCTCGCATAACTTTTTTAGATGCTTCCACCAGGGCAAGTTAATTCCTACACATGCACAGAAACCAGCCCTTACTATTTATTTCAGTAGGTAAAAACCCACAGGATTAAGCAACAAAACATTTTGTAATCTGTTAAACATTAATTCGAAGACAGATTCTCACAGTAGTTCATATCGTGGCTTTAATCTGTGATAAACACTATCACCTTGATTTGGTAGATTCACTTTTCAGGCACAATCTACAAAATGGGTTGAGCAAGGCCTTTTTCCTCTTCCAGTTCTATAGTCTTTAATTTACTTTTAACCTGCTTTCACATAGCTTTTGATTTATATAATAGCAACAGTAATGGTTTTTTTGCTTTGTGATAATATCTGAAAGTAGTATCTACCATTAAAAAAAAAAATCAACCTACTGTTTTTTCAGTCTTTGTAAAGACAGGTTGTTTGGAAATATTCTGGCAGTAATTATCTTAGAATTCAAATCCCTCTCGTAATAGACAGGCATGTATATTTACTCACATTTCTACTCCCATCTTGCTACAAGCAGAATAACCTATATGAGTAATTTACATCACTATTATATCTTCAGCAGCTTACAGATAGCGTTTCTATACTTTACAACCAAAAATGGGATTTACGTTGGTGGAAACATTGGATCATTTATCTCCTATTAGAGGAGTAATAGTCCTGTATAAAGTACAATTTTGAAAATGTAACTTGTCTCAAGTTTAAAACTCAAATCTAATTATAATATGGCAGAAAGTTATTTGTATGATCTACTTTAAATTAACCATTTTTGGTTAGCTGCACAGGAAATCTTCAATTACAGGAAACTAACCACCCCAAGCCTGTCTAAACTGGTTTGAGAGATTCATCAGGACTAAAATAGATTCACTGATCCATACTGACTTAATATTTGTCATCACTACAATTTTCTACTATTCAGTTTCAAATACACAGTACACTGTTCAATATCAAAGTACACTACAAAAACATTTGAGTTTAAAACAAGAAACAGTAAGGATTCTGATAGCCAAACATGAGAAAGTTACCATAGAATTACAAGTAAGACTTGTTTGAAGCTTAAAGACTTTGTGCAATCCAGCAGCTTCTGCCTGTGCAAGTTTTTCTTCTGTCATCTTCACAACAAATTTCACAGTCGTATCAGTGTGGTATTCCTTATAGTCAGAAATTAATGCTGGAGTTTTTTCAGTCCCATTCAACATAGGTTCTAGAACCTGTTCTTTGTACACCTATAAAAAATAGGGTAACAAGAACTTCTTAAAAACTTCTTAAAATCCCTAACTCCTTAAACCAACTAAACAAAATAAGATTTCAAAGCTTTGTGCATTATGTCTGATATCAGTTATACTTTAAAGAACCAGTATAACCTGCAAAATGCAGGCCAAGACTAGCACAAATATAAGAGCCATCTAACAAGGACAGAAAAGTCTACTCAAAAGAAAAAGGGGATTAAATGTAGAAGCAGATAATCTTTGTAGTATGGACAGTAGATGGCACAAGTAGAAAAACATCTTCTACAAAGGCACACGAAAGAATGAAGCCATGTTCCCTTCCATCTATGTATAAGTATCAGGAAAATGGTGTTAAAAGTTCATCAGGATTCAGGATTACATAGTTTAATAAGGAACTTTCTGTCATTTTTTGGTTTTACGTAAATGTATTTCACTGTTACTTACCTGAGTCCATGTCCTTACAGGAAGCTCTGTAATTTCTACTGTGTTCCTGTCAACCACAAATATTTCACCACTGACTACATACTGGTTTTGACCAAGTTCCTGAATGGTTCCTTTGAAGTTTTTGTAGTTTGGAAGCTGAAATTGCAAAAAACAGCAAAGCAGTAATAATCTTTATACTAAAACATTGGAAAAATATTTGTTTCCTATACACCATACAGCTATCACTTTATATTGCACTAATACATCAACCAGCTTCTCATGCCTGTGAAAATCTTAAGTCATAGGAAAAATACTACAGAAAAAAAAAGAATACACACATACTTGCTTCTGTCATGTGCATTTTAACATCTACAGAGTCGATAAGTGATTAAGAAGATGCAGCTGAACCCAGTGAGGTGGTAGGGGTTTTGTTTGTGGGGTGGGGTTTTTTTTCGGGTTTTTTTTTCTTTTTTAAAGAAAACTGCAAGAACAGATAAGGCATGACAGAAAGCAGATTAATACCCTAGTCTCACAATAACTTTACAGAAGTGGTGCTACCTCCCCTAACCATTTTTTCATTGTTGTGCTGTTTGGCAAAGATAGTGGAACCCATCCAGTTTGAAAAGTTACTAACAGGGTGGGGAATTTTTTTTAACTGAATTGATTCCCTTATCCAGCTTACCATGCAGCCACAAACACATACCAGCATACAGAAAGGAGCTAGATGGAGGCAGAACTGCCTCTTTCAATCACAGTGAAGCTTCAATTGACTGTGAGACTACACAGAAGGCCTAGGAGTCCTAAAGGAAGGGCAATGGATTGCATTAATTAAAAAAAAAAAATAAAAAAATAAATCTATTCATTGTTCCCAAGAATTTGCAAAAGAAAATTCACTATGTCATGAAAATTGATACTGCATGCTCAGTGAACTGTGATCAAAGTAGAGAAGAAAAGATGTTTCTGCTTCTGTGACTTGGTAAACACAGCAAAGTAGCAATATCCATCAGTTGTAAAGTAAAGGTTCCATTTTCTGTATTTCATCTGTTGGCTACAGATATTCTGGGTTCACCCAGGCATTCTTCCTGTCCAATTTTTTTCAGGTATACACCACTTACGAGACTCCTTATAAAATTTTAAATAAAGGAACAGAAGCTAGCTGCATTCAGAAGCTGGTGATTTTCCTGAATAGTTGCAATATCTTCTCGTATGCTTACAGGCATATAAAAGAGAGTACCATTCAGACAAGCCAGAGCAAATGTTAAGCTTGGCTGAAGACGAGTATTAGTATACCTTCAAAAAGGAGCCATGTCATAACTACCCTGTAAGACTTGCAACTGTAAAGGCTTACAGTCAGCAGACTGAAAAAAAGTCCTCTGAAATAATTGGAAATATAGAAATTTCAATGTTTTTGCTTCAAGGTGAACTTTCCCAGCCTCATCCCAACAGTCAAGTAAAGATCCTACACAAAATTACTAGGACAATCCAACTCATATGTTCCAATAATCAAGTATTTCTAGACTCATATGAATTCATTCTGTAAGTACAAAATAAGGTTTGTTTAGTAAACATATAAATACCAGCATATACTATTATTTTTACCATTGGGTGGGGATCTAAGCCATCCAGCATTCGTCTGACATTGTTTACAATCTCTCTGGTATCGTAGTTTGGAAGTTTGCAGGCCCATCCAGTACCAATTCCTTCAGCTCCGTTTACTAAAACCATAGGAATGATGGGAATATACCATTCAGGTTCCACACGTTGGTTGTCATCATAAAGGAATTTAAGCAAGTTGTCATCCACTGATGGAAAAAGCAGCCTTGCTAAAGGGCTTGAAGAAAGAAAAAGAAGAAAATTGTTTAACTGGAGCCCCGTAAGTAAAGTACATAATGCTTTATTAGTCCATGGGTCCAGATATGATCTATTTGTAGATTTTTCTCATGTCTTCCTTTCTCTTTGCCATTCTGAAGCTGAAAATACAATGTACATACTACCTGAGAAAAGGAAGTTCTTTCCAATGGAAGAGTGTGTTCCTAACAGATGATATTTGTTTCCTTCACCGTAACACACGTACACAATACACTAGTAATTAATAGCATTTAACATCTACAAAAATACCATTCTTTGAAGCACTCAGAACACAGAGTTCAATGTGACAGTAGGTCACCCAGTAATAAAGCAACACAGCATGCAAACAGTTGCAAAACTTCATTGCTTAATTGTAGGCCTAGCAGTCTCTGAAAATACTAGAGGTTTTACTGGTGACTCCTTTTGCTTATCTAGTACATTCTCCTGGGTGAACACGATTTCCAGCACCTCATGAAAAAAGGAAAATGTACAAAACTAGGTTGCTACAGAAAGAACATATATGAGAAAGGGAATAAAACCTGATACTTATGTATAAAGCTTACAATCAGAGGAAAAGAAGAAACTACAAGAAATTTTAGGCAAAATATCACACAAATTAGGAAATAAAAGAAGCAACATAACTTATAAAATACTGTAATTTATATTGAGGAACACATTCTAACATGCTGCATACCAAATTGAACTTCAAGGTATTAGTTGTGAAACATCAGCATCATTAAATTAGGTCTTCACTATTAATTATGTATGTGTAATTTAGCTTGATATGAAGAAACTCATCCAAAAGAAAAAGAATCCATCTCAACTTTCTAGTCTATGCTGAGTTGCGGAACTCGTCACCAGGTAGCAATACATTTTTTATTGTGAAACTGAATAGATTTCACACTGAACAGGGAAACTGAAAGCTGCTTCTGCAAGAAGTCACAATTTAAGATCAGTAACTAATCTGAGTGATTTACATTTTCAGTCTTCAACCTTATGATTCAATGTTTAATTCCTTAAAAGCTATGATTCCCACAGTACTTCTATGCATGGAAAATCACGAAAAAAATCCTGGTGCAAAAACACACTTACAGATGTAAAGTGGAATTTGAGCTTCTATCAAAATATTCCAATTCCCCCCCCCCACCTCCTCTCCCCTAAAAAAACCCTGTGAAAGGATTAGTTTCGTAACAAGGCTTTTTTAAAGCATGCGTTTAGCTTTACATTTGTGTTTACCTTAACATGGTGAAAATATAGCGAGGGCTCGCAGCATCCTTTCCACCATGAAGCCTGGTACCAAACTGACCAATAGGTTGTAGCAGATTAACATTGTTACTTCCAACAAAGTTCTGAGCCAAGTTGACAATAGTCATCATTAACGCTTGCTGCAAGAAAATACATAGTCATAGTATTAAGAAGAGATAGTCTTTCCTAATCGGCCAATAAAAAATATTTTTAATGCCCAAAAATAGTGTGACTAAGCTAATTCAATTTCAAAAAAGTAGTCTCTCTGAGAAAGGAATGTTGTAAACCTATTACAAGAGCTGCTGGCAAAACATAATGCTTCCTCTTCCACAGCCACATTGCCTCCCTGATTTAAGTGTCCTTACATTCTATGCTTATGAAAACCCCTGGGCTTCTCTATTTTTTCTAAAGCACTTCTCTGGAGGAATGAAAGGGGCACAAACTGACTGCACTTACTACTGAATAAACTACTACTCACTGCTTTTAAAGGGAGAGAAGGAGGAATGGAGAGATACTGTTAATATGGCAACTTTTGCTAATTTTTCAGATAAATATAAGCAAAACAGGAGCTTGAAATAATCTCTGTTCCAACACTGTATCACGTTTTCAAAGAACAGTGTCTCTTCTTCTTACCTTAAAAGACTATATTTCTTGTTTAAGACAAAAATTGTCCTAGTACATAGTTCCTATATTCCTATGATTTGAGAATCTAGCATTTGCCTAGGTAATTTAGTTATCTACTATTTCGCCACAACTCACAAACTATTTGGGATACCACTGTGCACAAAGACTTGAAAAGAATGGAAATATGCTGTCTTATTAAGCTACGAACTGTTTGGTTCATTTTCTTTAAAAGTAAATCTGTGATTAGTAGACTTATAGTCAATAGGTTTGCAATTTCAACACAGCAAATGTTTACCTAATATTTTATATAGACTAAAAATCCTCATAACTTTACCATCATTCATACTCACCTCCCCATGGTGATAAGCTGACATTTCAGCAACAGAACCAGCCAGCTGAGCAACCTTTACTTCACGTTTATCATTTCTCTTAAAGCAAGTGAATAAAACTTTGCGTTGCCCTGGTTTTAAACCTATTAAAAAGAATATCCAATTTTCAACACATACATAAGCATATATTTTTAAGTAATAAACTTGTTTTGCCCTACTATAATTTCTGATCTCTTAAAAGAAGCCCAAACATTAAATGAAAACAAATTCACACTGTAATATCAACAAAATAACAAATTAATATTTCAGTTCTTTTAAAAAAATAAAAAATATTTTACCAAACTGAAAAAGTTACCAGAAAAGTGGAAGTGTAACTCTTTAAGCCAATCATTATTATGCAGCATACAATACATTATTCTAATAAACAGCAACTTTATCCTAAATGTACAGCTTCCACAAGTCAAGAGTTATTTCTCTCCAGTCTCCTCAGCAAAATCTTTTTCCTAAGAATATCACCACAAATTCAGCAGTCACAACTGCAACCGCAGCTTACATGTGTTTTAAAGCATTCTGAAATTTTACTTTTTGTGTGAAATTCTCAAATACTCTTTAAAATTCAACAAAAAAGATATGTTATTTGTCTCCCTTTTAGATATTTTAAAGTTTTAAGAAGCCAGTCTCTTTGATCATCTTTTTCATTTTTATTGCTTAGGCACACTTTAAGTACAACATCTGTGTTGAAGGGATTGCATCGTTTTTTCTGCATGTTATCTATAACTGATAACCAGTTCTAGATCATGCTTATTGAGCTACTCAGTGTTTTAATTCACATACATTTCTGAAATGCACTAAAATATTGCTACATGTTACCATTACTAAACTGGGTCAAATGTAAGAGCAAAAATTAAAAACAATTGAAAAAAAAGACACTGACTCTAATCTCTATTTCATTGAAATATGTAACATCCAATTTTCTTTACAATGGGCCTACATCATGTTTTTCTACCAAAAAAATATTGAATGTAACAGAGGATTTCCTTTACACAGGAGAATCACCAAGGAGTAAGAGTGGTAGCTAGTAACTGTGAAGAGATAGCCAAAATGTACTTCCTCTCTATTTTTTCTGAGATTTGCTACCAAACCAGCCTGTTATGTGTCACCTGATGATACTGAAGAACAAAACAATTGCTGGACTACTACGCCTGCTGAGCATGCCCAGAATGCAGAATTACAGCCAAAGTTGGCAGAAACACTGATAGCAATTGTATACACATATAAAATATTATATTTATAATACTGTAAATACTATACTGTATAGTATATACAATATATGTATAGTGTTATACATAATGTGTAACACAGCAATTATATGTAATATGTATAATATGTACACATACATTATATTATATATATACATACATGCGCACACGCAAATATATGAATAAATAAATAAATACATTTTCTTCTCATTTTCTTATACTTCTGTAGACACAATCTTGGAGAACTCCAGTTCGAATGAACAGTTATCTACTGCAAGTTCATTCTTTATTTTAAGTTTCAGCAAAATCATTCTGCTGTTTCTGAGAAAGCAGTCAGCAGAGAGTATGTTATAAGGAACTACACCTCTTGAAACATGCAGATCTATAGTGAATCTTCTTCCAGAGCAGTAAACTATGAAATGCTTGCATAGAGACTACCAGTTAATCCAAGTACTTAACTATGTGAGGAAGTAAGTCTGGAGAAGCTGAAACAGAGACTGACATCCTTGGATTAGATGTATCTACATCATTCTGCAGTGGAGCTGGAGATCCATCCTACCGGGAAGCTACTACCCCTTATCCATCTGTGAGCTACCCCACTTCCTCATCTAAAATATAAAACCCTCTTGCTGCACAAATATTTTGGTACGGGTCTGTAGTGCCAAGAAGGCTGACTATAAAAAAATGCACTAGAAATTGGAGATAAATATGTCTCCCTCCCCCCAAAACCTCAAGGTCTTTTTTGTGTATCTTAGTAAGCATATGCATACTGACAATAATATAGGCAGAAATTCCTGCTCCTGCTGTCTACAGTCAGTTTTAGAGATGAAGCTGTAATGTAGTAAGCTGCCTCTTTTAATGTTCATGCTATTGCAAGGAGAGAGTTAACCAACCCTAGCGAGATTACAGGAAAAGTCAGTAACCATTAAAACACTGCCTGTGGTATAAGACTGAAGGGAGAAAATATTTGCATCTTCATCTGCACTCAGCTGCCAACTTGAATTTTAATTATTATAAGCACTTAAAAGACTTGCTTTCTCTGATGGTTTGACTAGAAACAAAGCCCTTGTATGGTCAAGGGAATAGGTCTGGTTAAGTAAAAAAGCTGCACAGCAACAGCTTACACTTCCTCACAGAAGAAACATGGCAATTCCTTAGCATATAAATGGTAACAAACAAAAATATAAAAGTTCTTATATTCTCTACTTGAATGCATCAATTTCCAATATAAATCACAGGTTTAAAAACCAACAATAAAGAGGTATGTTCCAAAAAATTGTAATGAATTATCAGCTTACCATCAACAAGGGAAGGGATAGATCTCTCGTTGTCAGAATTTGAGAAAAGGATCAACTCCTTGTTAATGAAATCATTGTAAGTCAAATGTTTTGTTGCTGTACCATATAAAAATTGCTGAAAAAAACACATACATTATTCATTCAATAAAAACCCCTTACATTTAAATCACACCTACCAGACTTATTACTATTATTTAGGACTCACCTCGGGAAGGCCATGTAGCCGACGCTGTCGCCTGTCCTCCATGAAGTTTGTTAACCACTCCTTTCGATCATCAATCTTCTTCTTACTGAAGGCCTGAAAAGATTCCAAGCACACTAAATTATCAGCGTATATATGTTTGGGTAAACACATGTTACTTTAGTCAGAATTTTAAGTGTACTGCACTATCTGATCCAGTATTCAATAATACTTATTTGGACAAGATAATCCATATGACTAATGTTTACGTTTAAGCAGTAGCAAAAGCGCATGACCTTTCAGACATGATTGCACAAGTTTTTTGAACTGACAGATCTCTCATTGATCATAATTTATAAATTTAAATTACTTTCCCAAAATCTGTACACATTTAGACAAACCTTATCATTCTTATTCCTCTCTTCACATCAGAGTTGTCCTTTGATATACAAGTTTAAAGGTATTGGGACCTTTCCCCAAATAATTTTAAGGTTGAGTTCATCATTTAGACTGAACTATAACCAGCTGTCATCAAGAAAATAAATTGAAGGTATTAAAAAAAATACCCCACTCTTCTTGTCCTCTCCATGCCCTGTTTGCTCTGTCAGCCACGGAACACCAATAATTTGTAGCTGTTCCTGAGTGGTTGGCCCTGGTCCTCTTAAGAAAATTGACAACTTGACAAAATTGACACTGCATGAAAAGACTAAGTCAGAGTTTACGCCAGCTGACTGGGGGCCTTAGTCTTCATGATGACACAGTGTCACTTTAAAGCAACCACTTATCACTACACAAAAGGACACAGGAACGTTCTGAAAGATGTTGACCTATTACAGAAACAGAGTTCCCCTCCATGAGTTTCTTCTCCAAAAGACTGTGAGAAAAAATACACAAAAATTGAATATGTGGTCTAAGCAAAATTTTCCAAAAGCTTCCTTCTCTTCCAAAAGTATCTTTTTCAGTTACTCAACACCCCACCCCACCCCCCAAACAAGAAAACAAACCCTGTTAGGACTTTCTCAAGTGGCATTTTCAGTAAAACATAGAAACAACAACTTATCATGTAGAAGCACTCTTATAAGTTCTTACCAGTGTAATGGCAGCATCATCTTCAGGACCAGCATATCGAAATAAGATCCGATGTCTTTCCATGTCAGCAAAATATTCTTTTGCTTCTTTAGCAGTGCTGGTACCCAAACCTGTATAATAAAAATAAATAGTTACTCCATATTCAAAATTTAAGTTTTATTATTTTACCCATTTTATTTTACTGGGAATATTATAAAATCATTACAGAAGATACTATCATAAAAACAGCCACATATAAAACTTCATACACCCATTTATTATGTGTTTCTAGATCCATGAGGTTCACTTATTTGTTTTTAAACCAACCTTTGTAGTATTTTATCTTCCATGCTTTATGATTCTCCATATGTTTCTTCCACTCGTCAAATTCAGGAATACTATAGAACGAAAGTTCTTGCTTATTTTTGCTTGCCTTTAAAAAAAACAAAACAAAACAAAACCTAATCAACTTTTCTGTTGCACTGTAACTAATAAATAAAATCTCATTAATAGAACCCATACCTTTACAATAGGAGTGATGAATTCCTCAAGAAAACCATGTTTCAACAGTGATGGCCAATTGTGATGAATAAAATTGATCAACAAGCCTTTTATGTGAGATCCATCCTGATCCTAAATCAGGGCATGAAAACATGAGGCAATCTTATAAAACGTCAGATCCCCCAAAACCACCAATAAACCACTCACTGGCCTGGATATATCAAAACAATGTCTGCTGACAGAAAATATTCAAGAGAACAGTTTTAATTTGGATTCCAAACTGGACTTGGGTATAAAATAGCCACCTGTGAAAGGCACTATTCCTGAGCTAATAATAAACTCTTCCAAGCCAAATGCACAGTTGCAGCTCAAAGGTTGCTTTGCCTGTGGCATGTTTCTTCTGAGAGGTAGACAGCTCTCCCAGACATCACAGAACTGAATCTTTGTGGAAGAAAGCCAAGCCTGGCCCACAGTTCTCATTAGTGTTAATGCTTGAGAGTTCAACCTCTCAGGGAAAAAAATAACAAAGCTTCACAAATATCCAAAGCACAGAATTCCTAGATTCTAAAATCTGAACAATAGCACACATTTCATGAGATTGTCCAAAAATAATTGCTTGCATTCTTGTCTCTCCCAGGCTTTCTAGCATTACTACCTCATCTACTGTTTCCTTTTGTACTTACATTCAACATATTGTTGAGTTATCAAAAGCATTCATCTTTATACATGTATTTATTATTCCTTTGGCATCTCTGCTACTGTGCAGCAACGTTCAGTTGTTCTTTCGGAGTAACCAAAACAACATATGAATAAATTATTCCCATAAAGAAACCTCATACATTAGGGATTCCCTCTGAATACATCCGCACTGCCATAGCACACAGGCAGGTTATAACGCACAAAAGTGTAACCTACCAAATTGTAGTAAATCACATTTTAAGAAGTTCTATATATTAAAACCTGTGAGTTTCAGACTAACCTGATCTGTCATGATCATAATTTTTCCATATCTCAAACTTTTCAGAGATTCTGGATCTTCATAGCTTTTCTTGTATTGTAGTCCAACTATTTTGATGATGTTGTTGATTTCTGCGTTTTCCATAATCTGTATTAAAAAGTTATCATTGCAGCCAGTGTAAACAGCAGAAATTCAGAAATATCCCAATCTGTGTAGGTGGGCGTTACAGCTACTTTTTCAATGCAACCCTACCTCAACTTCAGAATCTTTTTATCCCCAGCCCCCTTGCAGCCTTCACACTTGAAAATATTTCTTCTGTACATGCAAATTATCAAGAGTGCACTACTCCCTTTCTCCTCTACAGCTACAGCACTTTGAGTCCAGAAGGCAGGGAGAAAAGTGCATGTAACAAAAAGACATCTCACAAAGCTGCCTTCTCTTTTCATTACTTCTATTGGCATCTGCTACACACATCTTACTATAGATGAAGTATGGAGGGCAGGAGTAATGGGATAGGTAATTCTGCCTCACATCAGGAGTAAATGAAATCACACAGCAATGGAGAGAATATAAAATTTTAGGTTTTTTAAGTATTCATGTAAATCGTTAATATGAGTCATAGCAGAATTTCCTTGCACTTGTGAAGAAATGAACTTTATCACTCTAGTACTGTACTACTATACTTAATATTTCCAGGCCAATCCCAGGCTTTAAAGTAGCTGATACTTTATGAAATGCCAGCCACAAGATTTTAATGAAAAAATAAAAATTAAAATATGAAGATGTAACCCTAGAAATAAAAAAATAAACAGGAGACATCCATTTGTCAGCTAGAAGGGAGGTGACAAGACTACTTACCTGTTTGTGAGAAGCTTCTCGAACATTGAGAATTTTACCCCTTAGTGGGAATACTCCATACCTGTCTCTACCAATAACACCTAAGCCAGAGACAGCTAAAGATTTGGCAGAGTCTCCTTCTGTTAATATTAATGTGCAGTCCAAGGAATGTTTGCCACCTGCAGTCCAGGAAGAAGTAGAAGGAAGGCAAAAAAACAGAAAGCATAACTTTTAAACTCAAATAACAGAAATATAATTGCATTGGTCACTAATATTCTTCCTACTCTATGTCAGGTAATTTAAATAGGCTGAATTTCTATTTTTAGGGATGGCCCTCCATACCACTAAAACTACACAACACTACACGACAAAAATAAGTATCCTTGTCCTTAGCAATACACTATAGATTGCTACGGACAAGGATCAAAATAGACAAAATGGCATGCAACAGTGGCACATCTTATGTAATGGTCTCCACAAGTCAGCACAAAAAATAAAAAAGACAGATTGCTCCTGTACCTTTACCATTTCATTTTTCTAGCTGCAAATTTCTTACACACATACATTATGTATGTCTGAGTTATATGCAGGAGTTATTTCCCATTCTTCACTTCCCCTTTCCTCACAGTGTATTTTCAGAAGTAATTTATTAAATTACATTTTGGGGGTTTCTTTTTTTATTTTCCACTGGCTGAAGCCAGGCAACTGTAAGAAAAACTTGACAGAAAAGCTCAAAAAAGCAGAACTTACAGTCTTAGAAATTTCTCAAACAGAAAAAACAAATCTTTACTGATTTTGATTCTACAAGACACACTGCATTTCAGTGCCTGTGTGTCCAGTGTGCTCAAAACTGGCATGACATGTATATTCTGTTTATTGCAACTGTAATAGGTGAATAGATGTTCTAAATAATGAACAGGTTCAAAAAAGGAACCCACCCTTTTCCAAGGGTATGAATGCTTATTAAACAGTTTTGCTATTTTACCAAGGCCAAGTGGTAGGAAAGACTGCAAAAAGTATTTAAGCTTGTTGAGTCTCATCTACTGTTAATAAGATAATTTTGAATATATTAACATTTAAAATAGGTGCTTTGATTTGTCTTTTCCACGTAGGTAAAAACAACTCTGCACTTCGTATTACACAGAACTTACATTCAATATCTTTGGTCTTCTGCATCAGACATACCGCTTAATATAATCTAAATTAGGCAGCTATTCACACTGTATCAAAAGGTGTCAACAGCTACCATGCTATCAGCAAGGTGGAATCCAAATACCAAAATAAATACTAGTCTGCTGTTTTAGAATATATGACACAATTTTTTTCCTAAATAAATGGCAGAAAACACACCTGAATATGATCCAGGTGCACTTTCTTCTGGAATGGATGTGATCATTAGCAATTAATATCATGGAAATACAATGTCCCAGGTATTTTCCTGAACACAGGTCTAAAGAACTCGAAAAGTAGAGGAACCAGCAGGTTCCAAGAACTCTTTTATCCTTCACCAGATTTAATAATCTAGCTGCTCCCTTACAATCCTATATTCCTATTCCTGGTTCTTTATTTTTCCTTCATTTCTACCTCTTCTCCTCCAACAAGCCATAGAGCTATGTATACCTCATCAAGATCTCAAGAAAGCAAGAATGACCAGATATAGGACTCATTCTTTTCAGTTGGGGAGTAAATCTGCAGCAAGTACCTCACTCTACAGATACATCTCTCTCCTATTCCTAAGTATTAACCAGTATTCAAAAATTCAGTTGTACCTGGCACTCAAGAAACCTGTGGATGCTGGACCTCAGCTACAAACTCACTCTTGAAGTAAAAATAAAATGTGAAAACCACAGGAAGAATTAAAGCCAGAGGCGTCTGTGGCCAGACACAATTGTCTCCCAGCTGCACTGGACTACTTCAGTCCAGCAACTACTGGCACCTGCTATTAGAAATCCAAGCCAACCCTGTTCCCTCATCTGATTTGGGGTGCTTATGAAAGTGTAATTCCTGGGACCCTTACAAATATTTATTTGTCCTGAAATGCAACTACATCAAATAAGACAACTACTTTTTGCTGCCAGATTATAGATAATCTCTGTGTGACATGTATGAAGCAATCTCCCTGAAACTATATCTCCATACATCAGTTAAACCTTTTCTCCAGCTTATGGAGAGGTCTGAAATTCTTTTGAAAAGACTATTTGTAACTGTGTAACTCTTCACAATATGCTTAGTCATGTGCACATTCATAGCAAACACTCATATAGCAAGGAGTTGAATTTTTTGGACCTGGAAGTGATCATTGTCTCTCTCTCTCACAGTTCTTTCTTCACCTGACCCTGAGAATCTCTAATCCTTTCTATTAAGATCCCAAAGACAGAAAAATTGATTCATAGTTCTACAGTGTTTTGTCTGTGTACTCATTGAAGAATTTCCATGGTACCAGGACTTCCTTATGCTCTTATGTTAAGAAACATCAAGCTTTCAGTCAGATGCAGTCACCAACTAAAGTTCATTGAGACAAGTTCTCAGGAGCAGAGCAACCAACACACACTCAGCCACACTAAAGGAGTGACTCTCCTGTATCATTTTCTGCCTTCCCCTTCTCAATGAAAGCAGCTTTTTATTGAGGTCAGAGATCCTGATTATAGTATTAGCTTAGTTCTTGCACAAGAAGAACAAGAAACTCTTATTCATTTTCAAGAGCAAACACATGATCCATATGGTACTTTCAATCTTTAAAAAGAAAGGACCAAAGAACTTTTTACTAAATGTATTACTTGTGAACCTCCAATTTAAAACATTTTTGCCAGTATACATAACACTTCAGAAAGTCAGGCCAAGTGTGAATATGACAACATGCATTGTACTCTGAAACTGAATGCCTCTCTGCCTTCCTGTGCGTCCACCCCGAATGTGCGATGCCTTCAATGTGAGAAGTCTAGTATGTTCCAGATCTTCAGTAAACCAATACCTGGGTAAGCCTCCTTGGGAGATGCAAGTATTCTTATATGCTCCCCATATCAGAATAACTAGGTGGCCAAGAAATACCTCAGTAACAGAGACCCAAGCCATACAAAACTTTAAGCATCAGTGTTGAGGCCAAATGAATCCCTACATGCCTTCCTATTTGAGGAAGTTTCAACTTGAAAGGGAATGTAATATTTTATTAGTGCCCCTGTTACAAGTTAAAGGAGACATGATTATCAACTTTTGAGGCAAAATATGACATCTGAATAACTGGAAAAGTAATAAAATACTGAAGAAAACTCAATTAAGAAAAAAAATCAATAACCTGAACCCAAGGAATCAAAAAGAAAGGGAGGAAAATTAAACAAAATTCATCATCTCATCAAGTCATCTTTGACTTGAACGCTGGAGCTCAAAAACAAAAAAGCTTCTTTAGCAGTCTTACATGCGTTTACTTACTTAACCCACCCACCTACTTCATTACAATTTCTCTATCTTTGCTTAATGTAAGGATGTATTAAAAAATCAACTAACATTAACACAGACTGGCAACATTTCAAGGTCTTTAGTCATATGTGTCCCTCAAATAATTCAAGGACAACTCCCATCCCACTGCTATTGGCACAAAGATGGTCAGGTGATCTTGGTTTCTATCTGTGCTAGGAAGAAAGCCAGCAGAGACTGCCAGTTTGCCCTATATCCCCAGACAGGAACCTAATGGCATTTAAAGTCTCATGAAAAAAAGTATCTTGAACCATTCCCTCAGGTCTGCATACTATGTGATCTACTTCCTATAGCTTGTGACCCTATAAAGAGTCTGATCTTTTTATATTAGAAAGGTCAAGAAGACGAGTCACCTCCAAAATAGAAAATTGGTAACACTATTTAGCTGGAAACCACAATTAGAAAATACGCACTCTTTCAATATGGAACTAGACTGCCACTTTTGTTCAGTATTATTAATTCTCTACCCTAGAAAGGATGGTATATCAAACTCACCGTCACGCTTTAATTCTAGCTCTATAAAGCTATCTAATATTTTTCTATCTATATTTTTCTATCAAAAAATATACATAAGGATGAGAAATAAAGTCTGGTTAAAAAATCATGATGTCTGTGAAAAATCTATGAAACATTAAAGACATTAAAAATAAGTGCTCTTACCAGCATCATTAGCATCATCCAGCTTTGGAATGCCCTTGATTTTACTGTGTTTCACCGATGAACATTTTTTGTTCAGCTGAGTTTGTGCCTTGAATTTGACCCAATTCAAAATACTCTCTATGATACCACAGTTAGAGGCCTATAAGTAACAGATCAGAATTGTGGATGAGAAAAATAAAGCTTCACACAGCAGATTCTTATATCTCAATTTTAAGTCACTGACCTAACGCTGTTTCTCAAAGTCCTCTAAATTTTAAAAACTGCAACATATAAAAGGTCAAGGAATTAACACATACCTTACTGTTTAGCATTTTATGCACAAAAAACACAACACACACAGCTTTTTTTCCACCCCTTTTATAATTGGTGGAAGGAGGAAAACAGGACTGAGACCTAACAAGAGGTTGTCTTCTGTTGTGCGGTTGATGTGCTGAGATGTTTTAGGTACTAAGCACCTGCTTCCTGGACTTTGACAGCAAAAAGTAACCTTATGGGATATTTATGACCATTTAAAGTTTCTTTGGAAATGGCTGAAAATGGCTGAAAGACAGCCAAAAGCATTTAAGCATAAGGCTCTGTATCAACCATTTGAGAAGCTGATAACATTTTAAGAAACACATCTGCAGCAAAAATAACATATAGCATATTTTCTAAACTAAAACTGCTTTAGGTTTGGTTTCACATCAAAAGAAAATACAGGTGGAGCAAAATACTGTGAGCTTTGGCTTTTCATTAGCCCCCATAACACAGCACTCATTGGTTAGAGATTCTGCTGCACATTTAATGCCTCTGGAGATCAATGCTCATTTCTGGGAATTTTAGAAAGACTGTAAATTAAACCAACTGACAGAAACACAAAATATATGACAAAATCTGAAGAATGAATACAAGATCGCGTTGCGTTATTTTTTCGCTGTAAGTTCTATAAGAATGTCACCAGTAACACAGAATTAGAAGAATAAAACACTATACAATAAATTAAGTTTTGATGCCAAGAGTATTAGCAGTAGTACCATTCTCCTTACTACTGGAGTTCCAGTTATGCTACTGGCATTAAATAGGACTTAGTATAATGAGTTCTGGCCAACAGAATTCTACTTTTCCTTCTTTCCTTAAAGGAAAAACCTCTACCATGTATTTCTACTAATACATTCATTTAGAGTAGCAATTGTTAGCCTGTCTACAGCCAAAATTTCTAAATTTGTTGCCTGAGAATAATGATCACTTTGAATACTACAGCCACAATTTTGCATTTCTTTGATTACTGGAAGATTAAGTAAATATGACATGTTCCCTCCCTCTCTTCACATTTTAGTGAAAGAGAATAAGACTGATATCAAATAATAAGGTAGACAATATTCGCAACCTCAAGGAAATATTTTAACACAAAAAATTAGTTAAGGCCTATGTTTAGGTTTTAAGAGTCAAATTCATTTCACCAATATAAATACCAAAATCTCCAAGAAATGAGCTGATTGGTAAAGCTCGCTTTTAAATCCAGGGCAACTGACAAAACACAGTCATTGCTTCCATTATTAAGGTAAGAGAATGAACAGAAGTTCCTCCATTCCATTTTCATAGTATGTTACTGTCACTAGAGTACCATAATGCACTAATTAATCTTCTGCTACATTAACATACATACACTCGACCCAGAATGTCAATTTCTGCTTCACAGAAAAAAAAGAAATATGCTTTACTTACTGCTTTAAAAAATTTCTCAGATAGCTGGCACTTGGACCCAAAACTTTTAGGCTGCAATGTCATATTTTCCTTTGTCTGGGAATCAAATGATGGGTTCTCAATCAAACAATTAACAAAAACCCATATATGATTCTTTACCTGTTGAAAACATAGAAACCAATTTACTCAACAAAATTACCACATTCATCTCTTTCAATATTTTTGTATAAAGTTACTTGCCTGAAATGGTTTCACTGAAACTCCAGCTTTATTCTTCTTTTTCACCACTTCTATCAGTTTGCCCACAACCTGATCCACCACGTAATCAACGTGCCTACCACCCTAAATGACGGAAGAGAAAAAAAAAAATTAACAAACCCATTGAATTTCCTAATAGCTTCAAGCCATATAATAAAGCTCCTGTACTCATAATTAACTTTGAAAACCCATGCACATTAAGTTGCACCATAAAAAAGGAACATTTGTTTTAAAGTTTTTCTTTTCTGTCATTCAATCTTCATACAAGTGAGGATGATGGATGTTACATGGAACAGAAGAAGCAAGAGACCCTTCATTCCCTGTACAGTGGTGGACTGCAAATGTAGCTGCTTAAGAGTATGGCAGATCTGAATCTGGGATGGTACCTGCAACACCACATGGCTGTCAAGAGGTATCTTTTCAACAGGTACGTAAATAACCTTGGATTAAAAACACCATACATTTGTTCATCAAATTAAACTTTCCCCATTTGGTTAATAAGGAAAAAAAAAATACGTTCAAGAGCTCACCCTCAGATATACAGTACCCATGCCTACTCCTTCCCAAAAGTCATTTCACCTTCTCTTAACTGTATTTACAGAACTCTAAATAAATGCTATTAGCATTCTTCGCTAGCCTTGGGCTTATACAATGGCAAACAGCGGGCAAAATGCAAATAGCCAACCACAAGATCCAGAAAACTTTAAAAGAACAGAGTGATATAACCTTAAGGAGATGAGCTCTTTAAAATTCACCAGAGGCTAAACCTGCTCCAAATTCATACCTGATGTAGCAACAAGAGATACATAACAGAGCATGCAGGTAACCATAAGCTGGCAAACCAACTCCTTAGGAGACCACAGGGCAATAACTTGTAGCTACATAATCATGTTGCCACCTGTCTTGTAGCAAACAAGAGCAGTCAGCTAGACTCCCTTACAGTTACTACCCAAATGCAGAAGAAGAAAAAAAAAAAAAAAAAAA